AAGTAGAGTTAATGTTTTGGGTCTGTGACCCTTCTTCAGAACTGACAGCAAGGCAGTTTATTAAAATAGCAAGCAACAGGAAGCTCAGAGAGGTGATTATATCATATTTGACTTTCAACTTCCCCAAAATTAACTAGGACAAATTGCAAAAGATGGAGAGGAGCCAGTGTCCAGAAGAGCCTGTTAAACCAACTGGTAGAAATTCCAACAGGAGAAGGGGTGGTGCTAGACCTAATTTTCAGGAAAGAAGCTGTGAAAGTCCTAGAAGTATCACTGGAGGAGATTTTCAGTGAGCATGACCATAACTCAGTAAGATTTAAAGTAATTATACATATGGGCAAAGATGGATTGGAAATAATGGTTCAGAATTGGGGGAAGACCAGTTTTAATAATATAAAAACGATGGAAAGAAATTCTAGCATTGGATGCAGTCAGCAGAAGATTCACTAAGCTGATAACAGGTATAGTGGGAGTGCCTTATGAGGTGAACTTGAGTAGGTTGGGCATGTACTTATTGGAGTTTAGAAGAATGACAAGCCACCTTATTGAAACGTACAAGATTCTTAGGGGACTTGAAAGGGCAGTTGTAGACAGGTTGTTTTCCCTTACGGGAAAATCTAGGACCCAATGGTACAATGTCAGAATAAGGGCTCACACATTTAAGACATAAAGGAGAAATAATTTCCTCTCTGAGGCTTGTGAATTAGAGGAATTCTTTAATGCAGAGAGCTGTCAAGGCTGGGTCATCCAGTATATTCAAGGCTGAGATAGATCATTTTCTTAATCAGTAAGATAATTGAGGGTTATGTGGAAAAGACAGGAAAGTAGAGTTGAGGGTTATCAGACCAGCCACTGAATGGCCTAATTCTGGTTCTATATCTTAAGGTCTTATCAGTCTTAATTAATACTTTGCAGCTATTAAAGGTGAGAGGAGTGTGAACTATTGGATGTGATAAATATAGGGACAGAGGAAGTAGTGGGTAAATGAAATAAGATTTTATAGAAAAGTGGTTGCAACAGGAATAAAATGATACCTTAAAAGGTAGTGCTGTAAGGCATATTTTAGCATGAACCTTGAACCCCTAAGGGTCAGCAGAAATGACTGGAGGAACCTTTGTATGCCTAAAGGTGTACATTAGCCTTGGGTGCAGACTAGCGAGTATAAACAAATTTCTGCAGACAGTATAAGAGAAAAACAAACCTAGGATGGAAGATTTCTGTGTTTTGTGTAGGAATGAAATGTAAACAATGTCGTGGGGTATAAAAGTTAATGGTTTTTTGAATGTATGATATAGAGATTGGACAGAGGTGGACAGAGGTGGGCAGAGTATCAAACAGAATTCTGCTTAGCCAGTCAGGCTGTCTCTCCAAGGTTAACCTGCATAACCAACTCCTTCTATGGGTTGCGTAAGAACCACTAGAAGGGCTTTAGCAACGATGAAAGTAAATAAATCACCAGGGCCAGAATCAAACGTATCCCAGGCTGTTAAAAGAAGCCAGGGAGGGCACTGCAGTTGGTTTGACCATCATTTTTCAATTCTTATTGGATACAAAGGGACTGGAGAACTGGAAACATTGTACTTATTGCACCCCACTCAAATAAATGTAGTGAACTTCAGGGTTTGGAGTTTGAACATGTGTTGCTTTAAGACATTAACAGTTCAGAAGGTAGAATCAGAAACAGATGTCCTTGCTGAATTGGAGATGCGGTTTCTACCCCAGTTACAGTGATGACAGACCAGAGAGATTGTTTATGTACTAGACTTCAAGATGCTTCTGTTGCAGTTGTCCCATTTAGCACTGTTAAAAAATAAATACCAGAACTAAACATTATACAGTAAAACACATGTGCCATGAATTGGATATTTGCAGCCAAAGCAATACAGGTGTTCATTAATTTGAAGGCGAAGTGTTTGGACCTGATGGAATACATTCCAGAATTATTGTGGTAATGAGTTTGTGCTCAAGTATAGTGGATGGAGGACATGTAATAGCTGTGGTGTATATGAATTTTGACAAGGTATAACACACAACACTGCTGGGAAGATTAAAGAGCATGCTGTTAGGGAAAACGAGTAAATTGGATTAAAACCTTTGACAAAATGAGAAGCGATATAGGGCAGTTGAATGGGAATACTCATTTAATGCAAGATATTCAAGACTGACAGCAAAACATACTTTTTCTTCCAATAGAGGGTTTATGTGGCTGTGAAATTTACTTCCAGAATAGTGATTAAAGCAAGGACCACATCAACATTTAAGCATAAGCTAGCGAGATGATTAAAGGAAAGAATATAGGAATGTGGAAACAGGGAAAAACATATTTAAGACTTCTGATTATGTGGAGGATAAATATATTTTGAGTGATTAGACTATACAATCTGTTTCTTTCTTGTAAGCTAGGTGTAGAGGTCAAAAGCACATGGACTCAACCTCAATTCAGGAATATGATGCTGAACTAAATTTTCCAAAAATAATATCAAGCAAATATTATTTCTCCTCCTGCCTCTCCACAGAAGCTTTTTATCCTCTATAATGTTAAAACCGTGATTTGGAAGAGTTCATGTACAGTGCAGTCCTGGAAAAGAATAAGATGACGTGACTGCATTAGTAAATGGAGAGCACACACAGCTCCATCTCCATCCAGCCCATAAATGGTTTGTAATATAAGGAAGGTCATGAACTTAACATTATTATTTTTTTGAGAGTACTGCAGTTTTGCTAATAGCTGTAACTGTCACAAGCAAATGTTCTTTTCCATCAGCAAAAATAATGACTGAAAACTAAGACTGCATTTTGCAATGTTAAAATGTTGGACTGTGAACCTACTGTAGCACATTTTGCTAGTGATCAGAATGAAGATGATTCAACATTGAAAATTCATTAGTATTATACTTGACAGATAAACTTTTATCTTTTCATTCTTATCTTAAAACATCAGTACTTTCTACAGATTGGATAGGCTATTTTCTCATATACAAGTCTGACAAATGGAAATTATCTAATCATACTGAAAGAAGCATACATCTTCTTGCACAGCAAGTAATCATATTTATGTTTTAAACAGAACATGTAAATAGTTTTCAAATGTTGTTTGCATATTAACAGAATTTATTCTACTGTTTCTGTAATACTTGATTATCTGTATTGTGGTACTGTTCAAATATGTAAACAGATTTGCCATACAGAATAATTCACTTTAGGATCTCATACTACCACACCTAGTGACACTCTGCATTCCACAGTTGGGCTGGATTTTCCAAGGTGTGGCAATCTCACACAGGGGTGGCACAGTGGCTGGCACTGCTGCCTCACAGCACCAGGGACCCAGGTTCGATTCCAGCCCCGGGCGTCTGTCTGTGTGGAGTTTGCACATTCTCCCCATGTCTGCGTGGGTTTCCTCCAGGTGCTCCGGTTTTCTCCCACAGTCCAAAGATGTGCAGGTTAGATGGATTGGCCATGCTAAATTGCCCACAGGGATGTGTAGATTAGGTGGGTTATAGGGGGATGGGTCTGGGTGGGGTGCTCTGAGGTTTGGTGTGGACTTGTTGGGCCGAAGGGCCTGTTTCCACACTGTAGGGATTCTATGATGATGAGGTTGCCACTCCATTTCTCCTTGTTTACAAAATCAAAGATTCTGATCCTTCATTCTGACAGATCCCTCATTGTATACAACAATTGCTTTGTCATTTTCACTGCAGCTAGCTCCTGCACCTTGCAACTTACTCGTTCAGCATCACAGACAGCCATTTCGACAGCTCCAGCAAGCACATTAGATAAGCATGTGGCCAGGGTGCCAGGTGTGGAGGTACCAGCAGGATTCCGGTGGTTAAGGTGTCAAGTAAGTAGGGCATTATGGGTAGAAGCTGGGATTAGGGTGCTAGGGGTTAGCATGACAGGTGAATAGGGTGAGGGTGCAAGGTGACAAGAATGCTAGGTAAGTGGTTGAATGTTCGGGGTAGGAGGCATCAGGTCTGGCAGCAAGCAACGTGCCTGAACGTGGCATTTCACGGCCTAGAGTGGATACAGGGTCTACTGGCAGGTCTAGAAATGATATGTTGGGTTGCGGAGAGGAAGGTCGGGTGTCAGGGCTGGGTCTGGGAAATCTTAGGGATCTGGGAGAAGTGTAACTGGGGAGTTGTGGTAAGTTGGGTGTTTGATAGAATAATCTTGTCTGATTAACTATTTACTTGGCTGCATGGAACACACTAAATTCTTGAATTTTAATGGGTACTTTCAGAGGGTTCCAGACACAGGGGAATCACCCAGCAGAATCTTCAATTTCCTGGGCTATTCCTTTGGAATCTGGTATGATGGGGATTCTGCAGGGTTCCCACATGCAATTCCCACCTACACTTCAGAAACTATTATGTGGCTGTCAGAAAGTCCGGGCCATTGTTTCTCCAAACAGAGGGTGCAGCATTGAGATCATGACTGCATTTCCTAAGTAATACAACAAGTGATATTTTAAACAGTAACTGTTCCAATTCCAGCAGAATAGACAATCAAGTAAAGAACAGATTTGTATGCAGATTAGGACATTTTGAAGGAATGAATAACTACCTGAGAAAATCTAGCACTCTAAAACATCAATCTTCATGTACGAAACAGAACGTCACAAATCTATACCAGAAATGGAGATGGAACCTGACGACATGAGTCTATATCCTCAGTATACAGCAATGACAACACCATTAAATATTTATCTCTCAGTACAAATTGCTCAACCAACCCCTCTGCATGTTATTGCTCTTAAAGGCCACAGCATGTAAACTAAGTCACCTAACCTAGTGGCAACGTATACAGAACAAATAAGTAATTACATAACTGAAAGTTCTCCAAATATTCTATTATTCCCTCCATCAAAGAATTTTGTTACTTCTAATTTATTTGCTATCAACTCCTTCCACAAAGTGTATTACATCCCAAATTGGATTGGTATTGTTCAAACAGCTTTTGCACTTAGTCCAGAGGTAAAGAAGGGTTCCAGAAACAGGGGCTACACAAAACATTCAATTTCTTTTTATTAAAACTGGTACATTCTGGTTAATTTTAAATAAACCTGTACTTCATAAATTTTTGTCTTTTTTCCCCCCAAGATTAACAATCTAAGTCACATATGGATTTTTAACAGAGCAACCAGACAATCATTTTGTCAAAGATTGTCTCGACAGTCACGTTCCTATATTTGATGCCCGCCATCCATTTTTCAGATGTCAAAGTAGTACTCTCTCTCCTCAGCATTCGGTTCACAAATACACTATCCCTCACCTAACTTCTCATAATTTCACGGAAACATTTTCTTCTCCTCCAATGCTCCAAATTCCTCCTGGCAATGCTCACTCAATCACTCATTTACTCCATTGCTTCTCAACTGGAAGTGGTCCTGCAAAATAAAAAGGACATAAAACTATTTTATTTCTCAGAGCCTTACCTCAAATCCTGCAGAAAATTCTTCAACTTATTTGCACCTACGTGCAGGAACATAGCCTTCCTCAATTCCAATAAATCAGTCTGCTTCAAAGAACTTTTCTGGAGCAAACGAGTCGAAAACTGTAACATCCACCAGATTGACAAGTACTTTTTCTGAGAAGAATACATCATAATCTGGATGCCCCACTGGGTGATAATTCATGATCAAAAGCATGGTAATGAACTAGCAGAGGTCTGGGAAAAGACTAAGATTGTTCTCTTCAATAATATTTCATCTTCAGCTGAGAAATTAGGATAAGGTTAAAGAAGATTGAAACCAAAGGTGCCAGGTGAATTGATCAGCTGCTCTTAAGCAAATGCATAAGCGATGGCAGAACATCACTCACCTTTAGGAACTGAATGATCTTTGTTTCCGATTACTAATTTACTTATATGAAAAGGGGGTTAACTTCTTTACTGGGACCATTTTCAATGCCTTCAAGCATTGGAGAATCTATTCTCTACTGGGCAGTTCTCTAACAAACTGGATAGTTATGTAGAATTCTTCGGGTGGAATCTCCCCAGCCACTGAACAACAAATTGGGTGAGTGCCCAGTGAGCCCCATCCTGCTGTTGAAATTAAAAAGTAACATTATTTAACCAAGTCCTGAACATTGAGATTTTTGCTCCTGAGTAGTGAGAAACCTATTTGTATGCATAATCAATCATTCATTATTCATGACCAAATTTCACCTCAGCTTTTCACGTGCAGCTTTCCATTCCCAGACTTGCTGGATAGAAATAAATCGCCAAGATATCCGGCATGGAAATTTGAGTAGGTATCTGGTGACTCCAAGTCACTGCTTGCTCCTCTGGGCCTTGATGGTAGACACCTGGCACAAGCATCTCAGAGTATGCCCTGTGGGCACTGGCTACATGCACCCACCTCTATGGACGTTGTCATCTGCCACATATCAGCCTCACTGCTTCATCATAACAAATCCCTGATTCACTTACAGAACATATCTGTATTTTGATGCTTTGGAGCACAGTGGTGCTTCTCATCAGAATGCAGAGGCAAGGATACTTAGTCCGTGAGTGCAATCACCCATCTTTGAGATTGGATTAGGATGCATCTCAGGGCTACTTGCTCACTCTCTTAGCTTATATTTATTTTGCACCTTCCTGGATGCTCACAGCATCTTGCTTTGTTTTATCTTTTTGCACTTTAAGACAAAAAGAGGGCTGCTGTCAGTTAGGAGTCCTAGCACAGTCAGTCTAGGGCAGCAACTGCTCACAGACAAGGGGTTTTGGCACATTAGTCATTCATTTGGGGCAGTCAGGGTAAGATTGTGGACTACTCTGTTTCACTCCAGTTGGTGACTGGGCCTCCAGTCAGTCAGGGAGGTCCAGTGCAAGCAGTCAGGCAATTTGTGAATTGTCAGTCAGTGATCTGTATAGAGGGTGGTCAGGGGTCCAGTCACCCATCAATTAGGACTGTCCACCAAGTCAGTTGGTGGGGGTGGGCCACTGTTAGTCCTGGAGGGGTGGGGTGAGGAGGGTATCAGGGGATACTGTCATAGCAACAAAGTGTGGGGACTCAATGACTGGGGCTTGCGGAAAAGGATGAGAATTGGGGTCGTCACTCCATGTGGTGGGAACGTGTGGAGGAACAATGGTGATGGGCTGTCCAGGGAGATGCACGTAGAAAAGGAAATGGAGGTTCAACGGGGGGAGCTTGATGACCAGCCTGAGCCTGTGAGTCATGGTGCCCACGCAACTTGTGTCACCTTCCATGATCTATTGATTCCTAATTCATGGGTTATTTTCATTATGTACATAGATAAGATTAATCAAAGATAGCCTCAAGGGAGAGTTCATTGAATGTATTAGAGTCTGTTTCTTACAGAAATATGTTGTGGAATCAACCAGCGTGCAGGCTATTCTGGATTTGGTATCGTGCAATGAGATGGGATGAATTAATAGTCTCATGGTAAAGGATCCTCTCAGGAAGAGCGATCAGAGCTTGCAAGAATTTCAAATTCAGTTCAAGGGAGAGAAGCCCAAGAGTGAATAAAAAAAAACTAATTGTGTTGAAGAAGAAATTAAAGGAGATTGTCAAAGTAGACCTTGTGAGGTAACCTAGAACGAGAGATCATAATTTTAGGATAAGGGAGTAGCAGATTTCAAAGAGATGAGGAGGAATTACTTCTCACAAAGCGTCATGAATTTGTGGAATTCACTCCCCCAGGTAACAACTGTATTTTGCAGATGCACGGTTGGTGCTATTGCCCCTTGAAGGGCCTCCATTTACTCAGAAGTGTTTTGGCAAAGAAATAGAAACTGACTCCGCCCTGTCCAAGTGTAGTTGCTGACATTTTCCATTTGTAAGTTGCATTTAGAAAAGAAGATCTAGGAGCAGGAGTAAACCATTCAGCCTCTTGAGCCTGCTCCAATCTTCAATAAGTTCATGGCTGATCTCATCTTGGCCTCAACTCTGCTTTCCTGCCCGCTGCACAGCAGCGTTCTGGAGTTAAACAACGGTAATTCCACTGGCGTGAGGAGATTTGGCCCTACTGGACTGGGCAGGAAGACTAAAAGATAGGACAGTTGATGAAAGTGGCAGATGTTTAAGGAGAGATTCTATTCCTCACAACTGGAATATGTTAGACAGTAAGAAAGATTTTAAAGAGGGGGAAAACATCCATGGCTCAGCAAAGACATTAAAGATAATAGAAAAGTAAAAACTAAGACACACAATATTGTAAAGGCTGGTGACGTGCTGGAAGGTAGGGAAACTTTTAAAGAACAACAAAGGATTACTAAAAATTTAATGAAAAGAGCAAAAGTAAATTATGAAAGAAAACCAGCGCAAAATATAAAAATGGATAGCAGTAGCTTCTATAAGGATATAAAAGGGAAGAGAGTAGCTGAAGTGAATGTGGGTCCCAAGGAAGATGGGAATGGCTAGTTAATAATGGGGAACACCAACAGCACAGACATTACTTTTATATTTTGTCTCAGTTTTCACGATGCATGATACTCAATACCAACTCAATAATAACAAGCAATGCAGATTATAGAAAAGGAGGAACATAAAACAATCACTGGGGAAAAATTACAGCGCAAACTATGGGGATTGAAAGCAGACAAGTTCTCAGAGCCTGATGGCTTACATCCTGTGAATTAGCGTGGAGATACTATAATCATTGGTTATATATTCCAAAATTCTCTGGATGCTGGAAAGGTTCCAGGGGATTGGAAAAATGTTAATACAACATCCTTGTTTGAAAAGAGAGGGAGACAGAATGTGGGAAACTGTAGATTGGTTAGTTTAACATCTGTCATTGGGAAATTGTTAAAATCCATGATGAAGGATGCAATAACAGGAGATTTGGCAAGTCAAAACATGATCCATGAGAGTCATCATGGTTTTATGAAGGGTAAACCTTGTTTGACTAATTTGCTCAAGTTCTTCCACGATGTAACTAGCAAAGTGGATAATGGGGATCACACAGATGCAGTAGATTTGGACTTGAGAAGGCATTTGGTAAGGTACCACACAGAATGTTAATACACAAGGTAAGATCACATGGGGTTAAGGGTAATATTTAATTTGGACAGCAGACTGGCTAATCAACAGAAAGCAGAGAGAGTGATAAATGGATCATTTTTGCTGGTAGGCAAGATGTAACTAGAGAGGTGCCACAGGGTTCCGTCCTTGGACCCCGACTATTTACAATCTATAGTAATGTCTTGGATGCAGGGATAGAAAGGACTACTGCCAAATTTGCAGTTGGCACTAAAATAGATGCTGTGAGGAAAATAAAAAATTACAATTGAATCGGGTTAGGTGAATGGGTCAAAGCTTGGCAGGTGGAGCTGAACCTGGTTAAGTGAGAGATTATCCAGTTTGGTTGGAAATACAGAAAGGCAACATATTATTTAAATGGAGAGAAAATTTAGAGAGCTTCATTTCAGAGGGATCTGGATGTCCTCATGCATGAGTCACAGATAACAAGGAAGGCCAATGGAATTTTTGCATTTATTGCTAAAGGAATAGTACAAAAGTAGGGAAGTGTTGCTGCAACTGTACAAGTCGTTAAGGAGACAGTCTCTGGAGTATTGCATACAATTTTGGTCCCTTTACTTGAACAGGGATGTAGATGCATTAGAGGTAGTTCAGAGGAGGTTCACCACATTGATTCCAGAGATGAGGGGTTTGTCTTCTGAAGAGAGATTGAGCAGTTCAGACCTCTATTCTCGAGAGCTTAGAAGAATGAGAGAACTGCAGTAGTTTAAGAAGTTCACCACCACCTTCTCAAGAGCAACTAGAAAGGGGCAATAAATTTTGGCACAAGAGTGAATAAAACAAAACTAATTGTGTTGAAGAAATTAATGGAGATTGTCAAAGTAGACATAGAACAGATTCTTCTCCTTGTGAGGTAACCCAGAACGAGAGATCATAACTTTAGGATAAGGGAGTAGCAGATTTCAAAGAGATGAGGAGGAATTACTTCTCACAAAGGGTTATGAATCTGTGGAATTCACTCCCCCAGACTGCAGAGAATGCCAGAACACTGAATAAATTTAAGGAGGTTTGATTTAATTAGTAATGGTTCAAAGGGTTATGGACAGCAGGCAAGAAAGTGGAGTTGAGACCAAGATGAGATCAGCCATGAACGTATTGAAAATCAGAGCAGGCTCAAGAGGCTGAATTGTCTACTCCTGTTCCGAGATCTTAAATTCTAAAAGCAGCTTATAAATGGAAAATGTCAGCAACTTCACCTGGACAGGGCGGAGTCAGTTTCTATTTCTTGGCCAAAACACGAGATCCACTTCTAAGGGAAGCCCTTCAAGGGGCTATAGCATCAACCATGCATTTGCCGAATACAGTTATTATAGGTTCACATAGCACAGAAACAGACCCTTCAGCCCAACTCGTCCATGCTGACCACGTTTCCCAAACTAAAC